TGAGGAACAAGTGGGACTGGACCAGCCTTTGGGAAGAGGGACAGGAAAGGGATTCTTCCTCTCATGTCCTTTTAGAAAACCTCAAACAACGCCCAACGTTTCACACCAAGTTCAAAAGAGAAAAGAAACAATCTTGTTTTCTGTTTACAAAAGCTAGATATACGTGGCATTTTTTATTTAACTTTTTTTTGGACCACTTTTCTCCAGATGAAGGGACTCAAGACAGCTCATAATGTGAAAAAGAATAAATTATACAATATAAAGCAATGAAACCCTAAGAATGATTAAAAATACACAAAAGCATTAAAAATATTTACAACCTCAAGAAGAAACTCCCGAAGGTAAATACCATCATGCAGGGTGCAACCTATAAAAACCTGTCCATGGAAGGAGAAAAAGACATAATCTCCACAGGCAGAACATTGCACAAGCTGGGAGCTGCCACAGAGAAGGCCCTTTCTTGTATCCCCATCAAGTGTACCTGCCCTGGCGTGCGGGCAGAGTTGGGCCTCCATATGAATCAAGAGAGCTCCTACAGTATGTGGAGAGACAGTCCAGCTGGTCATCCTATGGGGTTTTATAGCTAAGAAACAGGACTTTGAAGTAGGCCTGGAAAAGGATGGGTAAGCACTTCTAAGACTGAAAATGGAAGACATACTTTACCAGCCTGCTATATGAGCATTGATCAAATGCGGGCTTTTGTTAAAAAGAACGGGCCAGACAGATACAGGTCTAAAGTGGTTGTATGCACAGGGATTTATTTTTTATTTATTGGTTTCTTTCTTAAATTATAGATTGCTCCATGACTGTCATGCACTATTCTGGGTGGTTCAAAGAAACTATATGTTGTGGGATCCCCTCCCCATGGTTGCTAAGCTGTATTGTTGTTGTAGTGAGAGCACACTCTCCTAGCAAGATGCAGCTGCTTCTGACGGACATCTGTGTTGACTCTCTTCATTAGCTTCTCTCTCTAAAGTTAATTGCTTTCTTTATTCGGTAATCATCGAAACTATCAGGCTTCTCATTTCGTGACCGCTACAATATGGAATAATAACAACAATAATAAATTAAATAAGCCGCTAAAGAAATCACGGAAACTTCAAGAGGGATAAATAGTAAGATTAAAGTACATGATTCAAATACACAAGGCCTTTGCCCTACCTGAGTGGCTTCTCCTCCATGGCAACTAAGAGATGAAGGACTACTTGTTGTTGGCTTCGTGCCGTCCCCTGCGGGAGAGACGAAAGTGTTGGTGAGCCAGTCCTAGAAGCTCCTCGCAAAAGAAGATACAGTAATAATCCTAAAAACGCTGACTAAAATCTAAAGTGTTTATTTAGCACCTGAGGATTCCCATCCTACTTAAAGGCAGACGTTTGCATACTAAAAAGTCTGCCATTTCAGGAAACTGTAAGTGAATGATATTCCAAGAGGGCAGAAGGCTGAGATTTTTTTTTTTTTACTGAGTAAGAGATTTTCTCCAACAAATAAAAAACACTAATAAATATCGAGAATTCTCCTTTTTTCTAGATACTATAGTTCAACCGCTGCACCAGAATTTTTCTTTTATTCACAGTCATATTTTTATTTATTTATTACCACCCTTTTTCAGGAGACAAAAAACAAACGAACTAAATTTTGTCTTTCTTTGTTTTAACCCACATTGTACAAAATGAATGGAAAATCTGGTGGGGGTGTTCCTTGTCTCTCTCCACCTGCTCTGAAATCATTGCCTTCCTCTGTGTTTCTTTCCCCCTCTACACCCCGTGATTCCTACCTTCTTCCTAACTGTTAAGCTCAATCTTTCAAACATTAGCTGTAGAGAGGAGAAGCGGCTAGGAAAAGAGATACGGGCATTTCAATATGTGTATAGGCTATAAATATAACAGAAAAACAAGTACCAATCATTGAAGCATGCAAGGCTAAATACAGAAGCGTGTCAGCATCCCTCCAATCCTAAATTTATTTTTCTTTGTGGAAAGGTATGTCTACCCTGAAGGAGCCAACTTCCTTCCAGATCCCTCAAGGTCTGGTGAAAGTACTGGACTACATTTCTTCATTAAAAGGCTGAATTCTTCAGAAGTCTTACAGGAACGTGTACGTATTAACTTCAGAAACCATGATCTCAAAATCTCTCTGGATCATAGCCGGAAATGTAAAAATAAAAAAGTGTGACCAAAACGCTCTAGATCAAAAATGATGTAACAACTTTATGGAAAATGGAGTTCGATAAAAAGAAGTGAAGGAGCAGCAAAGAGAGATGCTACTACCACACCCTGTCAGAATGGGAACCTTCCCCCCTGATCCTAAATTTACATCTGAGAGATTTTCTGTTTCAGATGGGAAAAATACACCTTTTCACACATGGTCTCCTGGACAGAAACAAAGGAACTGACTGCTATATTATAAGGCTTGGAAAACTGAAAAACTAAAGAGGCAGGTTTGAAATAGAGAAAGAACAAAAGAAGAATGACACTCCATCCCCAGCTGAAAAGTCAGGTGGAAAACCATACACAGGCCCTTCTTTCCTTTCCCACTGGGAAAAAAACACACCTTTCTAGCACAAAGCCTCACCTATAAAGCTGACACCTCCTTCAATCCCTTGATAGATTTCTTGTTCTTGAAGATCCTGTTTGATGTCGAACTGAGGTTCCTCTGCTCTGCGGAAATCAGACTGATCTTCTACAGAGAAATTTTCCATCTGAGGATCCATGACGTGCAATAAGAAGGGAGAAAAGAAAAGACAGAGGAAAAGATCTCAGTAGATGAGTCTGGGACTTGGAGGAGAAGAGGCCCTTTCCACAGATTTTCTAAGAAAAATGTTGGCACTTGGTTGAATTTGCAAGATTTCTCCCCTCATTTTCTTGATGCTTTGGAATACAAAAAGACAATCCCAACCCGAACCCACCAAAAGGCATCATATTGTGTCATTGCAACTACAACACTGCTGGATTGAATGCTGTGCCAACGGTAGAAGTAAACGTGAAATATACTTGGAAAACTATGCTGATGAGGAGGATGCACCTTGTTTTAAAGTGAAAGACGGTCTCCCCAATTTTGGGGACGGTTATTTATTTTCAAAATAAAATGAACACGGACCCCACATCTTCCTTTCAAGGACCATAAAGAATAAATTCCAGCAGAACACCCTCAAACAGGGAGCGAGTGCAGGGGTCATGGGCTCCCCATTTCAGATTCTAAGTCCCTGGCATGGATTGCTCTCACCTCTAGCTCTTCCTGCTTTATCTCTTCTGCCTGACTCAGACCCAGGAAACCTTCTGCCAGCGACACTGCCTGGGAAGTGGTCTCAGCTCCACATTCTCTCACCCAGCTCGACATCTCCAAGGGGAGGATGGCCAGGAACTGCTCCAAGATGACCAGGTCCAGCATCTGAGCCTTTGTGTGTTGCTCTGGCTTGAGCCACTGACGGCAAAGGTGGTGGAGCTGACTGCAAACCTCTCGAGGGCCATCAGCCTCCTCGTAGGAGAATTTCCTGAATTTCTGGCACTGTGTATCTGAGCTGGGCATCTCCTCATCTAGGGCCTTCTCCACCGTTCTTTCAGAGCATGTCCCAAGGCCTGCTACATGGATAACATCTGGGTCTCTTCCTGCTCTGGGGCCAGGAGTGTTCTCATCCGCCATTTTATTCTGTACTCAACATTACCTCCAATGCAGTCCTCGAACCACTCTCGTCCTGCTGAGCAAATAAGTTCCTTAAAAGACGATATGACGGAAGCTCTGCAAAGCAAAGACACTTGCATGTTAGCATATTCCAGACACAAAAAATGCCACAAAGAGAAACCAACTAAGTCTCATCTTTAAAAGGGAAGACAGTAGGATCCTAAGGCCGAGATGGCAGAAAGGCATGTGGGGCTGTCTGTTCTCCTCAGAGGCACAGATCAATGTCCTTGAGGCTCTCAGAGACTGATAAGTGGTGCCATCTTCCCTTTTTCCCTGATCCCTTTCTAACCATTCAGATTCATTTTTCACCTTAAGCCAAAACATACCTTAAGCCTTTCCCCTGACTTTCTTTTATACTCTGTTGTCTTAACATTAAGGGTTCATGGAGCTCCTTTTGATGTGGAAGAAATCTTCAGGCACCCATTGCTTGGCTTTTAAAAGGCTAGGCATCAATCAAAGCAATGCCTCTGTTCATAACATCTACACAATCTTGTGAAACACTCACTTGTATTTTGGTTTCTTGTAGTCATAGTTTTGAAGTGTGGTGCTGGAGGAGGCTCTTGAGAGTCCCCTGGACTGCAAGGAGAACAAACCTATCAATTCTAAAGGAAATCAACCCTGAGTGCTCACTGGAAGGACAGATCCTGAAGCTGAGGGTCCAATACTTTGGCCATCTCATGAGAAGAGAAGACTCCCTGGAAAAGACCTTGATGTTGGGAAAGTGTGAAGGCATGAGGAGAAGGGGACGACCGAGGATGAGATGGCTGGACAGTGTCTGAGAAGCAACCAACATGAATTTGACCCACCTCCGGGAGGCAGTGGAAGATAGGAGGGCCTGGCGTGCTCTGGTCCATGGGGTCACAAAGAGTCGGAGACGACTAAACGACTAAACGAACTGAGTCATCGTTTTACATTCAATTAGTTTTGAAAAATAATCTCATAAAAATATTTCCTACTTATGCAGGAAGACTGCTTTAGTAGGTGACGGTTCTATTGCATATTTTGCCAGCTATAAGTTTCCTGACTAGAAAAGGATAAGGCTCTTCATTAAACAGAATCCTTTACATGGAGAGTTCATATTTTGTGTCCTGTATTCACTTATTATTTTATTTATTTACGTATTTAAAATAATTTTACCCGACCTATCTCCTGGTCTTCATCCCCGTGTGGAAGGTCAGCCAAGCTGCCCGGTCTTGGGGTGCTTCCCTTCCCTCGGCTAGGCTTGGAGTTGGGGGGCCCTCCCCTTCCCTCCCCTTCCCTCCCTCTCACTCCCCTTCCCTTCCTCGGGGCTCCCCCAGTTCCCCCTCCCTACTCCCCCTCCCAAGCAGCCCTACTAGGAATGACTCACCCTCCCAACCGGTTGCGGAAGGAGGAAGCTCCCCAGATGCCACAAAGGGAGAAAAAGATCCCAGTCAACCTCTCCAGCTGTTAAAGTCACGCTTTCCTCCGGAAGAAGAAAAAGAGGACCGGAAGGAACTCTTTTTGGAAAGGGAGCATTACCAACTCCCCTCCCCTTCCGTTCTAGGAATGGCGACTCTGTCTTTTTAACCCTTCCTTTCCTGGTCTCCCAAAAGAGGACCAGGGAAGCATCCTTGGCACCGTACGGAGATTTGGCTTCTACAGTCCTGGCATCCGTGGGTCCCTCCAGGGTTCGCGGGAAGGGACCCAGGGCTCCCTTGCCCAGAAATTGCTGTGATCTTTCCCCCGAATCCTTTTCACTAAGATCATGGCCACTGATCCCATCACCTCCTGGCAAATAGAAGGGGAAGATATGGAGGCAGTGACAGATTTTACATTCTTGGGCTCCATGATCACTGCAGATGGTGACAGTAGCCACGAAATTAAAAGACACCTGCTTTTCGGGAGGAAAGCAACGAGAAATCTAGACAGCATCTTAAAAAGCTGAGACATCAGCTATGGTTTTTCCTGTAGTGATGTATGGAAGTGAGAGCTGGACCATAAAGAAAGCTGACTGCTGAAGAATTGATGCTTTTGACTTGTGGTGCTGGAGGAGACTCTTGAGAGTCCCCTGGACTGCAAGGAGAACAAACCTATCCATTCTGAAGAATGAGAATGGGGTGGGAATGGATCTGAGTGGACAACCAAAAAAATGGTTTCAAATAAGAAATTTCAAACCTGCATACAAGTGTGGTTGGCTCTCTCTCATTGACTTTCACTGCTCTCACTCCCCTGGCATTTGTATGGTTTCAATACTCTGTGGACTTTCTTATGAGCCACAAGCCGTGACCTTCAAGCAAAATTTTCCCCCCATTCCTGACCTTTGCATGGTTTCTCTCCTGTTTGGACCTTCTTATGGCTCAGCAGGGAATTCTAAACATAGTATTTCCAACAGACCATATATCGAGCTTTGCAACAAACCCCCTCCCTCCGGCTTCCTCCAATTCTCCCCCCACCCCACCCCAGACTCACACTCCCAGGCAGCCCTTCTAGGACACCCTCAATGGGTGGGAAGGCAGAAGGAGGAAGCTCCCCAGAGCGCAGTTAAGGAGATACAGATCCCAGGCAAGTTTTCCAGGGATTAAAGCCACTCTTTCCTCCGGATGAATAGAAAGGAGCGGGAGGGACTCTTTTGGGAAAGGGATTGTTTCCTATGGGGGTCCCCAGGGTCTCCTTCTAGCAATCGTGACTTGGTGCGCTTAAACCTTCGTTTCCTGGTCTCT